CAAGTCTCTTCGGTTGTCTATCTCGAAGCATTTCTCATTCTACTTCATCTCAGCCTCCTTGTCTCGCATTGTTAGACTATAAGTATGGCTCCTCTGCAAAAAGTGATCGTGGTTTACGGTGCTACTGGTAAGTCAGGCTGGCTGCGTCAGTTGCCATGTGTACAAGTCTAACACCGCCCAGGTGTCCAGGGGCGGTCCGTCGCCCTCTCCCTCCTCAAGAGCCAGCAGAACTTCGCCGTCCGGGCACTAACTCGCAACCCCCAGTCGGAAAAGGCGAAGGAATTGGCCCGCCTAGGGGCTGAGGTGGTCAAGGCTGATGGATTCAACGATAACGACATGCAGAATGCCCTGTCTGGCGCCTGGGGATTCTGGCTCAACACCCACCACCATGACCCAGTAAGTGGCGTTCATGATTACGAAGATACCACACACCGTGAACCACACGCTGATCGCCAGTTTCCAGGCGGTAACGCAACCCGGTGGCCCGACTGACGAAGATCTCGGCAACCGCCTCATCGAGATTGCAGCCAAGGCAGGCGTGAAGGTCTTCATTTACAGTACCTGCGAGTCTCCTGCGATATTTACCAAAGGCGTCGCGCCCGTTCCGGGCATGGATGGTATGTTCGTCTTGGAATTACTTCGCATCCACGTCTGACTTTTGCTCCCTACAGCCAAACACCGATGTGAGCTGTATGCCCGAACCTTCAAGGAATTCGACGCCGTCATTGGCGCTTTCCCCGGGTGGTACTTTGAGAACTATGTCACTCCAGAGTATGCGCAGGCCTTCGGTGGCTTCCCTATGTTCCCAGACAACGAGGGCTACCTGACCTGGCACGCTCCCTTGGTAGGCGGCGAAGGCAAGGTTCAAACGGTCTCCATTGAGGACGATTTTGGTGAGATGGTGCACGGAATGTTTTTAAACCCGCTGAAGTGGAAAAATAAGACCATTCAGTGCGTGAGTGATGCGTTCACATATGAGGATATGGTGAAGACGTTCACCGAGGGTAAGTTTCCGATTCGACTTATTCTGGGAGTTGCTGACTGGTGTCGCAGTCACGGGGAAGAAAGCTCGCTACGTTCCCATGGCCTCGGCGGATGACCTCCCAACCCATGGTAACACTGTCCTCATCGAATTGCAGGACGTCTTCAAATACACCCAGAACAACAATGGCTGGTTCTTCGGCAACCCCGACGACTTCGCAACCTGCCAGTCACTCAAGGACGAGGCCCGCCGGGATAAGGGTCTTGAGCCGGAGCCGGTCATTTCCATGATCAAGTACTTCATCAAGCACTACGGACCCAAGTAAACCGGAAGGATTGGGGACAAGATGCAGCGCTGTTTCAACTTGCTAGAGAGACGTTTTATGTGCAACATCAAAGATAGCGAATATCAGAACAAGCGATTCTTTCCATTCTTTCTCGGTTCACAGTGCTAGGCATAACAGTAAACTAGCATTTTCTGTGGGAAAACTGCATCATAACACACATACTATTCTCCTGAACAGTGGATAGGAAACGGTCAGTAAATGGCGCACTCGCATCCCACGCTCAGTCTGCTGAGTTGGCCAGAACAAGTACTCCAAAAGCCAAATCTGCGCCATACGTAAGTAGTAGTTCTGGTGCCGGCGCCAATTGTTGGACAGGAACAGTCCGGATGCATGACTTGCAGGAAGGGGGTAAAATCAGGGCTAGACTGCAGTGCCTACACTCTCACAGGATGATTGACTATAGTAGTATAAATAGTCTAGGCGGTGAGGCTTTTGTTCTGTTTGTCGGCATGACAGCGGTGACCGAGGGCAAAATTTCGGGCGGAGATGAATTATTATCACAATCCATTCTTGCGCTTCACACTCATTCCTCTTGCGGAAGGCATTTGACAATCATTGCAAGATTGCATCCTTCAGTCGCTCATTCGAATTGTCTGACAGTATTTGAGGATAATTTCAAAGCACTTGTCTCAAGCCCCTGCAGCTTCAAGTGCTCCCAATCCCTGTCTTCAACCCCACCACCATTGTCCGCGGGGTTCTGTCATAGTCATTCAGAAATTCGGAATCGCAAACCAACATGGTCCACGCCACGCCAGTACCGAGCAGTGGCTTCCAAGCCTTGATCCTCTGTGGTCCTGGTGAGAGCTTGAACACCATCTCCTCTAATCCTGAAGAAAACCCAAAATGCTTAATCCCCATCGCTGTATGTATTGGCAAATTCTCCGCGCGGGACTCCACATCAAGCAGTCACTAATACCAATGGATGCGCAGCTCAGGCCGATGGTATACTACCCGCTGGATTGGTGCAAGCGCGCAGGGATACATGGTGAGCGACGACAACGCGCCCTCTGAGGCCGTTGGGTCTTGCGGTCCTTGCTGAAGTGAAAGACTAACGGCTCAGATATCGTCTTGATCACACCTCCCTCCGCTCTGGCTCCCCTCAAGGCCGCTCTACAACAGAACCCCTACCTCACGTCACTCTCTTCGCCCTCCCCCACGATCATTGCCCCGAAGGACCTCAAGATGACGACAGGAACCGCGGAACTACTGCGTCTACCCGAAGTACAAGCTTGCATCCAATCCAATTTCTTGCTGTTGAGTTGTGATCTGCTGTGCGATATCCCTGGCGAGCATTTGCTTGAGGCATGGCTCGCCTCGCAAAGTGAATTGGGCCCCGCTGCCCAAGGAGGTCTGTCCGTGTTCTATCCCGCGAAAGGCATCCAAGACGAGATCAAGAAAGAGCCTACCGATTTTGTGGCGATTACTTCCCTCGACCAGGATGAGGTGCCTTCTGTCTCGCGTCATGAGCTCTCAAAACTCGTCCTGTCAATGCCCATGGATACCTTGAAAGAGCAGGTAGAGAATGATAAGGGGCTTCTGCTTCGTCATACCCTGGTGGAGAAGCATGCCTCGGTCAAGATGTTGACCAGCTACCGCGATGCACACCTGTACATTCTGCCTAAGTGGGTTCGATCGCTCGCACAGCACCAGGAGCGCTTCGAATCCGTAAGTGAGGACTTGATCGGCTACTGGGCGAAAGCGGGGTGGCAGCGTGGACTGAGCGCCAAGCTCGGCATCGATGAGATCGTGGGCGGACAGAAGGAGACTCAAGATGATCATGGAAGCAATGATGGTGACTCTTTGGAGGAGGAAATCGACCTTCGCAGCATGACCACTACACACGCTCAGGGTTCCGAGTCCCGCGGCACGAAATCTACCGAGTCCTCTGTGGAAGTTCCGCCCATCCTCGCATACACGACCAAGTCGTCCAAGCAACTCATTCGGCGCGTAGACAGTGCTGCCCTGGTGTTGGCCATGTCTCTGCGTCTTGCCAAGCTCGAGTCAGTTGAAGAGGTTGGCCGCGCTGCTGCCTCGCCATTCAGTCACGCCGCCAAGATTGCTACTCCGGAGGCAGTCGCTTCGAAGTCTATCGTCACGAAGGGCGATTGCTTGTTGGGGTCCAATGTAACGGTAAGCATTCTGAACCTTCAAGAGTCATATATTTCAGCACTAACCAAAGCAAAGGTCGAGGAAAAGTGTGTCATCAAGGAGTCCTGCATTTCGGCCAACGCCAAGATCTGCAGTGGCGCACGTCTCACGAGGTAAGCTCCACGATTTTGTATTTATTTCTTAGTCTCTAACATTAATTAGGTGTGTCATCATGGACAACGCAGTCATCGGACCCAAGTGTGTCCTTACAGGATGTATCGGTAAGTCTTCTACGATAAAAATGACTCAAGGGAATAAGGACCATGATTGACAATTACATAGTCGGCAGATACAGTCAGATCGGAAAAGATTCCGTACTCAAGGTGCGTCTGAGTTCTGCTAAACCATATATTATAGATCCCTTACTAACTCCTTTTACAGGACTGTGAAATCCAAGATGGCGTCGTGGTTGAGGAAGAGACCGATGCTAAGAACGAGCAGTTCATGAGCTTCGAGGGACTCGACGACGAGGATGATGATATGGATATTGATGGAGAAGGCGATAGCGGTGATGATGAGGGGTTCTAGATTAGCTGGATTGTATATTATATGAGTAAATACTTATCAGCATAGTATATATGATCCTACTGCATTATGTCTTCAAATAGATGAGATGACGAGTCTTTCGGATGCTGGTCTGTAAACGAATCTAATGTAGAAGAGATGGCTACAATTGATCTAAAAAACACCCAGCTACTAGAAATATTGGTAATGATGCAACTGGAGAAAATTACCAGGAAATAAAAATGCGCTTAATCATGGACATTACAACTACCATTGGTGAGGATAGAAAAGACATCCCTTCTGCATGTAATCTGAACCTCATGCTAGGAGACAAAGAACAAGCATGGCATTCAAGCCATCCTTTAGTATAAGAACCAAACAAAATAGCAAACCAAACAACAAGAAGGGCCGGTAGCTCAGGGGTAGAGCGTGGGACTGCAGATCTTAAGGTCACGCGTTCAAATCGCGTTCGGCCCTTTCTTTTTCTTTTTTTTTTTGCCGCTTTTTCTCGTTCCCCGAGATCTCTTATGACCAACCAAGAAGGGAATTATTCAACACCACTTTTTTTTTTTTTTTTTTTTTTTTTTTTTTTTTTTTTTTTCCCTCCTTTGGCTCATATAACTACTTCTATAGTTAATACTTTTCTGGTGAGAGTGTTGGTCCAGATTGCTGATACCACCCTAGTACTAGTATCATTGTAGGGGTACAGCGGAAGTATATATCCGAGCGGAGCAGTTTCATTGCTTGAATGTTTAAGTTCAATTCAATAGGGTTACAAGATAATCTGTCAGAGGGGTAGTAATTACTGAAACCATTACTTATCTCAAGAATCACGTCAAGCAAGATGTAGTATGCTCTTCTTTCTGTTTCGGAGTGGCTAGTTCAATGACTCGGAGTAGAGCATGCAGCGGTCAGCTATGCCTTCCGACCACTAGTCCACGGTAGAACGAAGTAACTATTTTGTAGCATATGAGACCAGGTACAGAAATCTACGACTCAGCAAACATTAACCGCTACTACTTAAAAGAAGAAACCATGCATCGTTGAGAATTATCCATAATTTTATCATTACTAGCGAGCCCATTACACTCCCCTTAATGAGCAGCAACAACACCCGCCTCATTAGCCTGAGAGCTAATCAACTTCTTATAAGCATTGACAGAGCCATCAAACTTATGCACCGTACCGTTATCACAAACCCAGAGACTAGTGCAAACGTTCTGCAGCATCGTAACATCGTGAGAGACCATCACCACACCACCCTCGAAGTTCTGCAGCGCCTCGGACAGCGCATCCATACCCTCAATATCCAGATGGTTAGACGGTTCGTCCAGAACCAGGATGTGGGGGTTCGTCAACGACAGACAAGCGAAGGCGACACGGGACTTCTGACCTCCGGACAGAAGCTCCATGCGCTGCAGACCCGTCATACCGGTGATACCGAAGGCACCGAGGTGTCTGCGGTATTCTTCGTCTGTCTTTCCGGGGTAGGTCTTGGCCATGAAGCTGACGGCGCTGGTGGTCAGGTCCAGAGCGTCGACGTGATGTTGGGCGAAGAAACCGACGCGCAGGCGGGCGTGTTGCGAGAGGAGACCCTTTGTCGGTTGGAGTTGGCCGGTGAGGAGCTTCAGCACAGTAGTCTTACCGGCACCGTTGGGACCAACGATACCAATACGCGAATCGAGTTGTACGTCGAGGTCCACGTTGCGGAGGAGGGGACGGTCGGGAGTGTATCCGAAGGCGATGTCGGACATTTGGACGATCGGGGGAGAGAGTTTCTCGACCTCGGGGAACTTGAAGTGCACGACGTAGTCGCTCTCGGGAGCTTCCAGGATGGGCATTCTCTCGAGTTTCTTGATACGGGATTGGGCTTCGGAGGACTTTGCGGCGTTGTAGCGGAACTTGTCGATGAAGGCTTGGAGATGGGCGCGCTCGGCCATTTGTTTTTCGTATTCGCGCTTGGCGTTCTTCTTGCGCTCTTCCTTGGTGGCGTAGAAGGAGTCGAAGTTGGCGCCCTTGTAGTAGTCGAGACGCTCGGAGTGTTGGTGGATGATGTCGGTGGCGACTTCGTTGAGGAATGCTCGATCGTGAGAAACGACCAGGATGGAACTGGGGTATGTTTGGAGGTAGTTGGAAAGGAAGGTAATGGATGGCACGTCCAACATGTTGGACGGTTCGTCCAGCAGGAGGAGATCGGGTTCGCAGAATAGGGCTCGGGCAAGAGCCAATCTCATACGCCAACCTCCGGAGAAGGTCTTGGTCGCGAATTGCTGTCTCTCGGGCGAAAAACCGAGACCGGCCAGGATACTGGCGGCGCGGGACTCGGCCTTGTCGGATTCCATCTCGGCGAGTTTGGAGTGGATGTCGTTCAGTGTGATGTCGAGACCCTCGCGCTCGTGGTCCAGACGGGCGGCATCCTTGGAGGTGTCTGCCATGGAGGATCGCTCTGCTTCAATGTCTGCCAGCTGCTTGGTGATCTTCTCCAGGTCGGCAAGGAGGCGCTTGCGCCATACGTCGGCGTCAAGGACGGCCTGGAGAGCGGGTGTGTCGTCTCCTGTGATTTCTTGCTCGACGTGAAGAATGGAGATGTGGCTGGGAATGGCGACTTCTCTGCGACTGAGTGCACGCAACAGCGTAGACTTTCCGATACCGTTCTGACCGACAAGACCGTAGCGACGACCATATGCCAGGGTAAGGGAAGCGTCTGTCAAGATACGGTGACCGCCGACGGAGATGTCGATGCTGTCCACCTTGATGTCCTTGCTCTTGGACTGGGAGTCCGAGCCCAGCTGCAGAGGGTTGACAGCCATGAAGAACTCTTCGTAGGACATGGTACTGTCGGGCTGGTTGAGGAGACGGGATGATTCGTATTGCACCGTCTTCATCTGCTTCTTCTCCTGCTTGGCACGAATCTTGCGTTCGGCCTTCTCGAGCTTCTTGCGGTCGACCTTAGACTCGACCTTTCTGGCATTAGCCGACTCCAGATCGACGTTACCTCCGGCAAGACCCAGAGTAGAAGACATGTTGCGTTGGGAGCCGACATTGATGGCCTGGTCGAGCTTCTTGGCGGCAAAGGGCATCTGGCGACGCTCGGCGTCGACTCCATCAGCGGCACTCAACGAGGAGATGAACTTCTCGACCAAGTTGCGGATGGCCTGTTCATTCTCGGAGGTGAAGTCACCCGATGCGGAGACGAGGAGCTCGGTGACCATATCGGCCGCTTCGGCCAGTGGCGACGGAGCGTTGGCATCTTCCACATAGGCCTTGGAGGCATGGGTCAGGTACCCCACGGAGTACTCTGATACCACGCGATCGAGACCGGGGATCTGTGCTTGGAGTTCCGACTCCATTGTGGACAGCTGAGCGTGGATCACACTGGATTGAGCGGGGGGAAATGGACCCGGGTTGGGACACTTGTCGCTGGGATGGTGGCGAAAGGTGCCAACTCCGTGCAGATACAGGGCTCGAGAAGATGCAGGGATATGGGTAACACTAATATGTGTCCACTGCAATCCAGACGATATTTTAATCGTGTTTCTACTGATATCTAAATGGATACCCACGGGCCTCCGTCATGTGTTGTAAAATTAGAGTTTTCCCGACCCCGGCGCCCCACGGGCACGTGATCATGAGGTATATACAATTATACATTGTCTCATAGGGAGTGGCCATTTTCAGTTCACTCTTGTGGATTCAATAATTATGAGCTTGAAGAGACTTTCATGGACGAAGTATTTACTCGGGCGCCATCAGCCCAGATTGAAAGCTCAGTAGCGGGTGGTCAGCCAGACTCTCCCAGAACCCAATCTCAAAGTCTAAGGATTCCTGGTAAGGAAAGCTAGACCATTCAATAAGGTTCGGACTGCGGGGTGTCAAGTCTGATACAGGGTGCATGGGTTCAGAAGTGACCGAATCCAGGAAGCTTTGAATCGTTTGCATGGCCTTGGACATAAGCTCATAGTTGGGTTCTTGGGGCCGAATGATCGATCCGGCTTGAATCTCCGCAGAGAGGATTGTCAGATGCTGGAGTGTTCGAGGCCGTGTTATACGGGGCATACTAGGAGTGGCCCGCTCGTTGAGAAGAGCGAGGAGGAGAATTCCTGCAGCAGGAAGACTATGATAGGCGACCTGCTCAACTTACAGTTACCTCAAGGCTACGGTACGAGCTGGGCAGGGGGTTAGACACATACCTTCCACAGGAGACACGTTCCCGAGTTTGTAAGTTGGTCACGCAAGAGAACCATGTCCACTGTGACTGAGAGTATCTGTTCGGCGATGTCCACAAGGGTGGGATCTGGCTCAGTAGGGGTACTTAGCAGGAGGAGATTCAGCAGAAAGAGCGCGTGCAAGTGATTCAGCTGCACTGAGCCGATAAAGTCGCGTTCAAAGGTGCTCAGTGTACTGTCTCTGAGATTGTTGCGGAACTGAAAATGCGGAGGCAGTGCAGAGTAGTTCTTTTCAGCCTGAGCTTTGATGTCACTGATATCGTCAACATACACATAAGTTCTCTTTTCTGCAAAGTAAACCTACGTAACCCGTTGATAGAAAAGTTCCATGTCACTTGGCCGGCTTCTCTGCAAGTTGAGTATATCCTCTTTAACCCCAGCACACAATGCAGTCCATCGAGTCTCAGCCATATAGCTCGCTTTAGTCGACGGGTCCCAGCTAAGAGGATCATTGTTTTTAATATCCAGCTTTTCAGAGGAGGTAAACCAAACGTCATCGGGAAGCGGACTTGAGGGAATCTGAAAGTAACAGAACTGTCTATTCATGCGAGGTGGTCGACCGACAAAGATGGCAACATTCTTGTCCGCCGAATAGACGCGGGCAAAGACAGCCTTACGTAGCTCGGTCAAGAAGCGAGGTGTATCGGGTTTTTCATCGAGGTTCTCATGGTATCCTAGAGCATATATTGAGGATATAACGTCTCCGAGCTTCCGCCATGAATAGTAGCCTGGACGATATTAGCTCTTCATCAATGAGGCGCATTCACCTGCGAAACGTACTATGGTCCCCGTCTACATGGGAATGCACGATGAAGTTCTCATACTGTAAGCAGATCTGAAGGTCATTCAAACAGTCGAGAGAGATGGTAATCTCCAGAGCATAGTCCGCTAATCTCGTGCATAGCTTCCTAAGGCTATACTTCTTCTCCTCGGTCATATACAGCGACGGGAAGAACTGAATATCCATAGTGGCACGGACCACAGCTGAGAGAAAGATTGCGAGTGTTTCCCATCGCATATTCTGATTGATAAACTGAGCACAGAACTCGGAAAAGGTAGAGTACTGAGAGTATCTGAGCGGCTGGGAAGAGTTAGTGAGAAGAGATTTCGCATATAGCAGATGCCAATCTTCGTTCGTCGATGAGGGTGGTAGGGGAATGTTATCAATACATTGATCAACCATAGCACCCATGATCGCAAGATTCGTTCCCTTTGCCCGCCACAGCTTTACTAGCTCTTTCATAGCAGGCAAGGAAAACCTCGTCAGGAGCATTTTGAGGGCATCTGCACATCGCTGGACGACGAGATCATCGTCAGGCGGGAAGAGAGATGCTGTCCACGAAGCGGTGTTAGGGCTCAAATGAGATGTAGCACTTTGACTATCTGATGAAGTAATATGTTTGAATATGGCGACATGGCTGGACGACCCAAGATATCCTGGGTTGGGATATCTATTTCCTCCTGCATGAGGTGGAGATGATGCTGGGGGTGATGGGTCTGGAGAGCTAAAAGTGGTGACGCCGAATGAAGTGGCATGGTCTTAGCCGATGTATATTCGAATGACACTAAGAATTAGGGAAATCGTACTGACGAGAAGATATATGCTCTGTCACCGCATTGCTAGTCTTTCGTCTTTTGAACGGCGCACTTCTGTAGATACAAAGACCCGGTCGGTTGCCATCCCTACACCGGTTGCAGACCGGCTGTTGATGATCGCACGCAAGCTTGGACCTCCTGCAAGGTTCACATGCGGCTAATCTAGTTGACATGGTCAATCGCAGATATAATGGTGCGTTGACGCCCTCGAGGATGGATCGGCGAGTACGGAGAGACGTGGGTAGCGTTATCGGAGTCTCGGAGCGGGGTAAATGACTATGCCGAGATGAGACAATCGGCACCAGTACCACTTATATCATACTACTCTCAGACAGAAGAAAGAATCAAAAAGCTCAAGCTGGTCTTGTTCGCGTGAATATTTTGGTCGCTACGTAAGTGGATCCCTGGCATTCTACGATTGATACTAGTGCTTCTATGGCAGGCTTGGTCGGATGATACTGAATATACAGAACAATATTCTGGGCAGAAAGACACTCTAAATTAGTAGTACGATCGGGAAATCATGTACACATGTATATAGTTGAAATAGCGTTGTGAGCGATCTTGGATTCGAATATTTGCTACATACGCAACAACAGAGACCTCTACTGTTAACCTCAAACTAATACATTCCCAGGCCCTCCAACCCCCTACTCAATATGTGCTGGATCAGCTGAGCTAAATGAACGAAGGCTTATACAGACTCTTAGAGGACTAAGACCCCGAAAGCAGATGCAAACTGCGAACTAGAGCAATGGAAGGTGAGTGGAAAGGAGCTCTTCACACCTCACCGTGTACACATCAGAGACGCGGGTTTTCCGCTCACAGGTGATATCGCTGCGTTTCGACGACGACAGGCCCTGGGAAAAGTTCGCGAGTGGATATACGCATGCTCAATACATATAGCACCCTCTTTATTCCAAGTGAAGGTCAGAGGTAAGGAAAAGGAAAACGCGCGATAAGCGAAAGCCACCAAGAAGCGGGGTATTCGGAGTGTTCGAGTACATCATTCCGATCTCTCCGGCATCAAGATAAGTGATGTCTTGTCCTGCCCCAAAATATAAGAGAATACCAAAATCCATAATCGCGAAGTAGATCTTCTGATTCTTCGTAAACCAAACCCAATATCTCATCTCCCACAATGACCCGCCTGCAATCCACCGAGATCAAAGCCCTTCGTGCTGCGGCGCCTCCTCTCCCTCTCATTCCTGCCCCACCCGTCTCCTCTGATGAGTACAAATCACCATACAACCGTACAAAACCACCAGCAAATCACCTCGACCACCACTTCAGCCTCGAAAGCCGGAGCTTTACCGGCTCAGCGTTGAAAAAGGGGTCCAGCCCAAACGGTCCGCGCAAGATCGTCCCCCTGGGAACGGGACGACCAACTGCGGACTATTATCCTTGGGAATCTATAGGCTTGAATGAGGCTTCTCCAGAACCGACAAGTAAATCTACACCAAAACCCAATCTACAATCACCCAAAGAACCGGAAAAATGCCACTCAGCGAACACCATAACCAAATACGGTTTAACATACAACCTCTCAATCGCAATGAACTACGGCTTCGCACACGGATCAGCACACTTGCTCCGATTCATCACCGAGCACGTTGAGCTCATTCACAATCCCCCTTATGCAGACTGGGCAACATTCCTCTCTTGTGGAGCGACTGCCGCGACAGAGTTGGCATTTAGAATCTTCTGTAATCGCGGGGACACCATTCTCGCGGAGCAATATACATACCCCGGAACACTAGAAAGTGCTGCGTTGAATGGGATTAACGTCCAGGGAATTGAAATGGATGAGGATGGCTTGCGGGCTGATGCCCTGGATGAGGTACTTTCCTCTTGGGATGATGCTCAGTCTCCCAGGCCGCACGTGCTGTATACCATCCCGACGGGTCAGAATCCGACGGGGGTTACCCAATCGCTGGAAAGGCGCAGAGCTATCTATGATATTGCTGAGAAACATGATATCATAATCATCGAGGATGATCCGTACTATTTCCTGAGGATGGGTCCTTACCAAGACAATCACGGAACAAATGGTACTGATACCAACCAATCTGCCTCAGAAGACGACGAAGCCGCTCAGATCTACCATTTCGAGTCCATCCCCTCCTACCTCACCCTCGACACATCCGGCCGCGTGGTACGCCTTGATTCAGCATCCAAGATCCTCGCTCCCGGGTTGCGCGCCGGCTGGGTCACTGCATCCAGGCAAATCATCGATAAGTTCACCGCATACCAGGAAGTAAGCACTGTAGCTGTTAGCGGCCCCTCCCAGCTAATGCTGTGGCATCTGCTTGATGAGAACTGGGGGCATGATGGGTTCACCACGTGGCTTGTTCACCTCTCGCGAGAGTATCGCTGGCGGCGGGATGTGCTTCTTGATGCTTGCAACAAGTATTTGCCCAGGGAGGCTGTGCAGTGGAATACACCGGAGTTCGGCATGTTTTTGTGGGTTAAAGTTGACTGGACACGGCATCCTCGGCTTAAGAGCTTGTCTGGATTGTCGCTGGAGGAGGTTGGTGCGCAGATAATTGGGCTGGAGGAGAGGGTTGCAGCTAGGGCTTTGGAGAAGGGAGTGCTTGTGACTAAGGGGTCGCTGTTCGCTTCAAATCAGGAAAGGAATGGCCATCTGCA